CGGTGTCGCCGCTGCCGCCCGCGCCGCGTTCCCGGCACCGAGGGCGGCTCTGGCGGCCGGTGCCCGGTGCAGGTGCCGGCACAGCGGCGCCGGGCCCCGCTCCACCCCCGCTGTCCCCGCTGTCCCCGCTGTCCCCGGGGCTGGCCCTGTCGCGCTGTCCCCTCGCGGGTGCCCTGTCCCCACTCCGTGGGGCGCCGGTGCCTCCGTGAGCTCCGTCCTTTTTTGGGCATGTTGCTGCGGGGTTATTTTGAGTGAATTCCAGGTTATTTTTACCTCCTCTGCCTCCCTGCCACCCCCGTGGGCTCCGCCGTGTCCCCGCGCCGCTGTCACCCCCGGGCCGCTGTCACCCCGGGCACGGTGGCCGCCAGCGCCCCGCGGCCACCGGGGAAGCGCCGGGGGCGCCGCGCTGGCCCCACCGGGAGCGCCCCGAGTCCCGTCCCGGGGGTCGCGGGGGGCCAGGGGGTGTCCGGGGTGTCCCTTGTTGTCCCCTGCTGTCCCCGCAGTGTCGCGGGCTGGCACCGCGCCGGGCACGGGGGTGGCACAGCTGCGCCCGGGGGGTGCCGGGGGGGGGGCTCTGTGACCCTCGGGGACCCCTCCCCACAGCCCTGACGGGGGTCTCTGCCCTGCCAGGCTGCTGGTGGGAGCCCCCCAGGCGCTGGCGCTGCCCGGCCAGGGCGCCAACCGCACCGGGGGTCTCTTCGCCTGCCCGCTGACCACCGAGCTCTCGGACTGCTGGCGGGTGCCCATCGATGAGGGAGGTGAGCGGGGGGGTCCCGGGGGGTCCCGGAGGGGGGGTCCCGGCCGGGCTGACCCCTCCCTGCGGTGCCGGCAGCGGACCCGGAGCGCGAGAGCAAAGAGAACCAGTGGCTGGGGGTCAGCGTCAAGAGCCAAGGGCCGGGCGGCAAGATCGTGGTGAGCGCCGCGGGGACACCGGCGACACCTCTGCGAGGGGAGGGGTCCCCCGAGCCGCCGTGACCCCCGGGGTGTGCCCGCAGACCTGCGCGCACCGGTACGAGGTGCGGCACCGCGTGCGGCAGCCGCTGGAGACGCGGGACGTGATCGGGCGCTGCTTCGTGCTGAGCCAGGACCTGCGGCTGCGGGACGAGCTGGACGGCGGCGAGTGGAAGTTCTGCGAGGGGCGACCCCCGGGCCACGAGCGCTTCGGCACCTGCCAGCAGGGCCTGGCGGCCGCCTTCAGCCCCGACCGCCGCTACGTGCTGCTCGGAGCCCCCGGCACCTACAACTGGAAGGGTGAGGGGCGCTGGGACCCCTCCCGGGGGGAGTGGGAGCCAGAACTGGGAGGGTGAGGGGCGCTGGGACCACCCCCGGGGGGGTTTGAGGGGTGTGGGAGACAGAATTGGGAGGGTGAGGGGCGCTGGGACCACCCCCGGGGGGAGTGGGAGCCAGAACTGGGAGGGTGAGGGGCGTTGGGACCCCTCCCGGGGGAGTTTGGGGGTCTGGGGGTTTATTTTTATCTGCTCGGGGTCCCCGGCACCTGCAACTGGAAGGGTGAGGGGCGCTGGGACCACCCTCGGGGGAGTTTGGGAGGTATGGGAACCATAATTGGGAGGGTGAAGGGTGCTGGGACCACCCCCGGGGGGGTTTGGGGGTCTGGGGGTTTATTTTTATCTGCTCGGGGTCCCCGGCACCTGCAACTGGAAGGGTGAGGGGCGCTGGGACCACCCTCGGGGGAGTTTGGGAGGTATGGGAACCATAATTGGGAGGGTGAAGGGTGCTGGGACCACCCCCGGGGGGGTTTGGGGGTCTGGGGGAGGTGGGGCACCAACAGCTGGCAGGGTGAGGGGCTCTGGGACCCCTCCAAGGCGGGGATTTGTGGGGTGTGAGGGGTGGGGCACCCACAACTGGGAGGGTGGGGTGCGGGGAGGGAGGGCAGGTGTGCCCGGGCGATGCTGGGCACGGGGGTCCCTCGGTGTCCCCGGGGGTCCCCTGTGGTGTCCCCTTTACCTGGGGAGGGGTCCCAGCTCCCCCCGGAACCCTCGGTGTCCCCGTGTGCCTCACCCTGGGGAGGGGTCCCCGCCCTTGGAGCGGCTCCGCCTCCACTGCCCGTACCCGGGGGTCCCCGAGTGTCCCTGCGGTGTCCGCGGTGTCCCCTGGGGGGGGTCCCTGCCATGGAGCCGCTCCATCCCCACTCCCCGTGCCCGGGGGTCCCTGAGTGTCCCCGCGGTGTCCCCCCTGTCCCGTGTCCCCGCGGTGTCCTTGGGGCCTCTCCCCCCTGACTCCGGGGGTCCCTGAGTGTCCCCGCGGTGTCCCCCCTGTCCCCTGGGGGGGGTCCCTGCCATGGAGCCGCTTGCGGTGTCCTCCCCGTGCCCGGGGGTCCCTGAGTGTCCCTGCGGTGTCCCCGCGCTGTCCCTTGGGGAGGGGTCCCTGCCATGGAGCCGCTCCCCCCTGGCTCCGGGGGTCCCTGAGTGTCCCCGCGGTGTCCCCCCTGTCCCCTGGGGGGGGGGCCCTGCCATGGAGCCGCTCCATCCCCACTCCCCGTGCCCGGGGGTCCCTGAGCGTCCCTGCGGTGTCCCCGCGCTGTCCCTTGGGGAGGGGTCCCTGCCATGGAGCCGCTCCCCCCTGGCTCCGGGGGTCCCTGAGTGTCCCCGCGGTGTCCCCCCTGTCCCCTGGGGGGGGGTCCCTGCCATGGAGCCGCTCCCCCCTGGCTCCGGGGGTCCCTGAGTGTCGCCGCTGTCGCCGCCGCCCCGGGCGCAGGCACGGTGCGCCTGGAGCAGCTGCGGCAGAGCTCGCTGGACCTGCTGCGCCCGGACTCCGGCCCGTTCGAGGCGGGGGGCGAGAAGGAGCAGGACCCCTCCCAGATCCCCGTGCCCGCCAACAGCTACTTCGGTACGGGGGGCCCGGCCCTGAGCCCCCCGCCCCCTGCCCCC